TGGGATGTGAAAGAAAGGGAGGAGTCAGGGATGACTTCAGCATTTTAGGGGCCTGGGCAACTGGAAAGATAAAATCACCATTAACTGAGATGGGAAAGTATAGAAGGAGCTCATTCTGTTCTGGGCATATTAAACTGAGAAGCCTTTTAGACATTGGATGTGTTATGTAGGCAGCAGAATATATAAGGCTAGAAAGGATAGGCTGAAATGATAAATGTGGGCATCTCCAGCACATATAATAATACGTAATTGTATGTATAATCATAGATTTCCATGTATAATCACATGTAATTTGTATGACTATATGTTTATTATCTGCTCCCCTAAACTGTAAGCTTCATGTGGCCAAGGACCAGGTATGTTCACAGCCAGTAAGGTGCCTGGCACTCAGAGTAAATATTTACTGAGCAAATGGAGAAGTTGCCCAATTACTCTCAAGAATAGCCACAGCAGCCCACACAACAAGAAGCTGACTTGTTGCCAAGCCCAACCAGCCCAAAACAGGGCCCTGGGTCTGTCTACCCCAAGCTTGAGATTCCAGAATGTAAATGGATACGCCTGGCACATCAGTCAGATATTTGGGTTTCAGCCCTGCCACATTCTCAAAGGGTGGAGCTGGGCAAAAGATTGGCCTGTTCTACCGCCTCTATTTCATCCTGCGGTGGCCAGGGGAGGGGCTGCCTCACCCACTCACTTTTTGTGCAGAGATATTGATCTGCCCAGGGTATGTGTATGAAGTGGCAGGAGCCCCCCCAAAGAAGTAAATCCCCAAGTATTCTCTGAAGCATGCAAGGACTACCCAGCACCTGAAGGGGAGAAAGTACACGACTAGGTGTGCATTAAGAGTTAAGAGTCAAAAAAAAAAAGAAGTGACAATCACAAAACTTGATGAGATGAGAGGAACACCCAATTCTTCTAGCTAATGTAACACTGACCAGTAGGTGTCATGTCTCTGCTTCATCTGTCAAGTGACTAGGAAGACAGAAGTAAGGCCAAAGGGTGACAAGGCACAAGATTTCAACTCAATAACTTTCCAGTTTTGAATAGTTGCCTTTGTGAAGATGATCACAACAGCTCTAATGAGGTAGTATAATACCCCCATCCCTTTGTAAGATATTGAAAGTGTGACCCAGAGAAGTTTGATGACTTGCCCAGGGTCACCCAGCCACAGGCCCAGGACTAGAGCTCATATGCTAGCTCTCTGTGAGACTTTCTTCCATTACACCAGTGACCAAGGAAAGGTAAGCATTACAGTGGGAGCTAGAAGACTTTTAGGCATTAGTGTTTCAACATAAAACTGTCCTTATCAAAGGGTAAGTTGCAGATGTTGCAGAAATGCCAGGTGCACACTGAAATTAAGAAGGATTCCTTCCCTTATACCAAATTTGTCATCTTAAAGAGTTCCTCTTGGCTTTGGATATTATTAATAAAGCTATTCATAGTGGGACCCACAGAATTGCAAAAATGATACACAAGGAGGTAAAAAATGCAGAAATATACTTCAGTAAAATGTTTACATGGAAAATTCAGGTGCCCGGCAGGGCATGGCTCAGTAGCTGAGCATCAACCTATGATCCAGCAGATCATGGTTCGATTCCCAGTCAGGGCACATGCCCGGGTTTCAGGCTCGATCCCCAGTGGGGGGCGTGCAGGAGGCAGCCGATCAATGACTCATCATTGATATTTCTCTCTCTCTCCTTTCCTCTCTCTGAAATCAATAAAGATATATTTTTAAAAATTCAGGTGGAAGATGAAGTCAGGCCAGCTTTCTAAAATCAACAAGTAGTAAGTGCTTCCTCTGTACAAGTCACTGTAATAGGTGCTGAATATGTGTGCATGCATTTGTGTGTATGGTTACATGAGTGAGAAGACACACACATACACACACACAGATAATACAGAACCCAGGTCTTCAAGGCTTGCAATGCAGTTGCTGATATAAGACTGTAAACATCAAAGAAATGACTAATAATATGGAGTAGATAATTGTTAAGTAAGTGGCATAATATGTCTGAAGGAGTTCTCAGAAGAAGCAATCAGGTCTACTAGGGAGGGGGTGAAACTGTCAGGCAAGGTGCTTCTAGAAAAATATTGGATTTGAGGTGGACCTGGAAGGGAAGAAAGGCTCTTGATAAGCAAGGGAAATGACATGAGCAAACACTGGTGGCTTTATTGTCAGGGAGAAGGAAGAAATCACGCCTTAAATGGAAGGACTGGACCAGACTTGAACCAGACTGGACCAGCCTGCAGAGTTTGAGTTTTTGTAGACATGGGGAGGTGCAAAATTTTTTCTGAACATAGAACTATATGGTTTGGAGCAGGTTAATTTAACAAATGTCTTCTGGGGGGCCCACCATGTGCAGACACTGGACGAATGACTGAAGATGAACTTGCATTTGGAGGGGAACTGACTTCAGCCTGGGAGATGAGCTGCACTTGAGGTCACAAAGGCATGAAGTAGAGTGGGGAGGGGCAGGTTTGTAAGACCTGCTGAAGGAAGAAACAACAGGTTCAAGTGACTGACTGGCTAGGAGGCAGAGGGCAGAAAGCAGAGAAAGTCAGCAGAGAGAGGTCTTCAAAGTATAAAGTTAGGCAGCTGCAAGAATGGAAGAGCAAAGGGAAGCTGGCTGAGGGGAGAGATGCAGAGCTTGGTTTTAGAAGTGTGGAATCCAAGGATAACTACATCAGAGCATCCAGTGGGAATTTAGAGCTATAAGTCTAATGTTCGAGAGGGAATAGCTGAAGATACAGCATAGGAGTCTTCCCAATGGACAAAGAGTTGTGGTATTGAATAACATTTCTCTGGGAAGGAGAGTAATGAGAGAGAAAAATGAAATGGCAAACTGATCCATGGGTGTGTCCACACCTAGCAGTGATCTGAGAAAAAAAACACCAAGATAGTCTAATGCCAATAAGGGAAGGGGGAGAATTTCAAGTATGAGTTTCAAATGCGATTAAATCAATTATGTGAACTGAGCACATAGATAATATTTATTAAATGAATGAATGAATGGAAGAAAGCCCTTGGGTTTGAGAATTAACTTTCCTCAGTCAGATTGGCCACGGTTGCCAAGAGGATTTCAATGTTAAATTTTACCCATCCCCCCTAAAAAACATTTCTTCTCAAGTCATCCTGTCCACCACACAGACATCCTTCCCTGCTTCCCCCATGTTTCCCCTCATCCTCCTTTCCAGTTTCCGCAGCCCAGTCAACACACCTTTGGTGTCAAAGGAGACAGGAAGCTCCAACTAGAGTTCCCACTTCGCTGACTACTCTGCCTGTGGCTCCTCTTACATAAAGCAATTATGTAGCAATTGGGTGGAAGAGGAGACTGTGTTCTAGCCCCGGTTGTACTACTAACTAGCTGTGTGGGTTTGGGCAAGTTGCTCAACCTCTCTGGATCTGCCTTTTTCATAGATAGGAGGACATAGGGTCTATGTGGACTCTAGACAAGTTTCGAAGGTACCTTTCAGCTCTAAAGTCCACGATTTTATCATTCTCAGAAGGTCCTTGCAACACCCTCAGAGAAGGAAGTATGAGACCCGGGGAAACGACGGTCAGACTTCTTCCCGGGGCGAAGCGCCAGTATAGGAGTGTACCAAGAAAGTGAGAAGGCGCTGCCCGGCCCTCGCGGATCACCAGTGAGCAGATCCCATTCCCATGGCTGGGAAGGATCCCAACAAACCCGAGGGCGATTCCCACCCCGCACCCCACTTTTCCGAGGCTCCCAGACGGCCGGGAGGCTCTAAAAAGCCCTGCGGGAAAAAGAAAGATTTCTTTCCCAGAGTCCTGCGGTGCTTTTGCAAGTCGGATTCCGGCAAACACGATCTGCAGCCGGATAATGACACAGTCTTTGGAAGGAACGACTATTCTCGCCTCGCTTGCTACGTGTTCCGGGGACGCCCGGACGCCCTCGCTGTGCCCCAAAGGGCCCG